ACAAACTATGCCAAAATAAGAAATACTTAACGATAAAATAATGATACTAATTAAAAAAGAAAAATTCGAGCATAACATTATCCCCTTCTTGGAAGGATGAGCTCCAGCGAATCTTCAATTACTTTGGGACATTGCGCGAGAATTTGGAGATCTTGGGGCCCTTTCTTATTATATATCCACGTGACAGCTGCGGGACACTCACCAAATTATCTATCTTATTTTTACTTATACTCCGTACTTCAATTTCAGGATAATTTATTATGTGTAACTTCATTATTATTGTAAAGGACATCCACAACTTAACTTTAACCTTTCGGTTTTCCATTGGTGTCCTACTTGGCTTAATATTCATGGGATTTTTGTTGCTAAAAGGTTGGTTATTACTAATAGTCTTATATTTTACTATTTTTGTATTATCGTCATCTTTACCAGCATGTTTCTTTACACCAGATAAACTTGTGATGCGTGCAACTTTATCCATCTAGGCATCACACCTTTTCTGGAGTTCGTTATTGTTCAGGCCACAACCCTTACTATCCTTCGCATGGTTATTTAATGTATCATACGATGTTATTTTAACCTTTTGATTCTCACATTCGGTTACGTTGATCTGGGCTTTAAATAGTTCGATCTTCATTCTCCATGCAATATACGCAGCTTCGAGAGAAGAACAGTAGTTAATAATGATTGATAGTATTTAGTATTATTGTAACAATCCTATGTATTGAATTATATTAATAAAGAGAACCTTTATACCCGTAATTATGTGTGTTAGTTTGTTGATTTAAACCCTTTAACCTTAATCTTTATTTGTTTACGATCGTACTAAACCGGTCCAAATTCATCAAGCTCTCCCAACTGATCGTAATACCGGCTGTTAATATGAACATGTGATAATGATATTCAGCAGTCATAATCATGAAATATGATTATGAGAATGCGATTATGAAAATGGCAGGTTCCAAAGAATTATACGTAGTTCTGCCATTTTATTTAACTATTCGCTACTTCCTTTGTTACTGTTACCATCTTCTGATGGCATGACCTTCACTTATTTGTCGTGTATTGTTTATTCACCTACTCTTAACCCCGTTTTTCTTTTCCTTTCTTTTTTTTTTTTTTTTTTTTTTTCTTACTATCATGCTCACAGATTCTGAATGGCGATCGATTCCAAACTTGTATTATAGATCGCTTAGTCAGAATACGCTTTTGTCAAGATGGCTGCTACTGTTGCCGGATGGGTCCGTATATACCTATAGAATGCATCAGATGACCATCTGCCGATCTTCTGAACAAGTGGTAATTGTACATTCCGTAGTACTAGTTCAGTTGTGCCTCCTGCCTGGAAGCTGTGCCCTGCTATGTCTCTCTCGGGCAGTAGGGATCTTAAGTTGCTGATAAACCAGTGCTTAGTGGCCATGTTACCGTTGGCCTTGACAAATAGTATGTTACAGCCCGGAGCATATGCTGGGTCTGTTCTACGGATTGCACATGATTTTAGTGCTTGAATCGGGCATTGATCATCATTTGTTGCATTGATTATAAGAATTGGACGGTCTGTAGGTGGCTTTTTGTTCTGGGTAGTTGGACTGTTGCAAAGGTATAGTTTCCCGATTTGTCAAATCTTAAGGCTTGCATTGTTGGAATTTTTGCCAGGTCGTGCTAATCCGTAAAACGCCACCAATGCAACTGACCAGAATAATAGGCTTTTTGAATTTGTTATATTTATTTTCCTTCGTATTTCGCGCAGGTGTTCTCTTGTTATGTGTTTTTTTTGCTTCGTTGGGTTGAATAGATGGTTTCCTTCCATGGTTTTTAACACCTGTTTTACCAAGGGATCATAGCGCACTTCATTCTAACTCATATGATTCATGGTGTGGTAGTGTTTTAATGCGGATAAATATGATATTATAGTTTGTGGTGTTACCTTTGTGTGAAGGTATGTTATAAATTTCACAAGGCCGTTTATTGATACTGGCCAAATTGAGTTGTCTGTGTTTAGCCATCTATGTGTTGTCGCTAAATTTTGGTATCGTTTTATTATCGCATTGTATGTTTTGTGTATTAGAGGATTTGTGTTTAAGACTGCTGCTGCCTGTCTGTCTAATGGTATATTGTCTGATGCCATTGCTGCTGTATGATTGGTTTGTAGATGTAGCCCTGTACTAGTGTATACTTGACTACGATTGTC